TCTCCTTGGATGTTCACTCCATTTTCTTCTGGAGCCCCAGGGGCAACATTTGTCCAAGGAAGGGCATCCAGCTAGTTTGGGAAATGGTTTTGTTGTTGATGAGATCATTGGTTCCCCAGCCATTCTATGCATGTGACAATGTCGTGTAGAAAGACTGCAACAGCAGGTTTGAAAAGAAAAAGGGAGGAACCCAGGACCAGCTGACCTGAGCTAGAAATAAATTCTGCCCACAACTGCGCTCAGTCTGTATGCCTGGAAGAAGAGTCTGGTTAGCAGTGAGTGTACTTATGTGATCCGGCCTCCTTCTTTTGTGAAATAAAGACTTTCTGTAACTAAAAATAAAATCACAGAATTGGGAAATAAAGGGAAGTGCTTGCTCTGAAGTAAGGGAAGTGAAAGCCAGGGGCTATTTCAGGCAAAGAATGGAACCTGTGACTGGTTTACGGACAGCGTAGCTAATTGTCACTATCAGCTGTGTCACCAAAGTTGCCTGTGATATCTGGGAAGACCGTCAACTCGGAGAATCAGTGCACTAGGAGACAGACAGCTTCAGGCGACAGGCTCGGGACCCTCAATATAGAGTTCTTTTTGACAGGGCTTGTGGATTTTCCTGAGGCTGGAAGCTTGGTTCAGTTAGGACTCCTGCCAAGTGGGGGCTTAGAGAGTGGGTTTGGAATAAACTGGAATTAGCCAGCACAAGCTGGAGGGAGAGTTTCGGGGAGCAGGTGGAGCATGTACACTGATGCAGGGTCTCCTTAACTGTTGCTCCTCACATCACCTGGAAACATGGTGTCCATTACCACTTCAGAGGTCCAGAATCGGAGGCTCAGGGCAGTGGCCAAGGGTGACAGTGGCAGAATTGAGATCCAGACACTGGTGTCCAGTTCCCAGCAGAGCCTGGACTCCTCAGCAGCTCGTGACCATGGGAGAATGGGAGAATCTAGGGATTTGGGGGTTGTCTTTTTTTTTTGTTTTTCGAGGCAGAGTTTCTCTGTGTTGCTTTGGAGCCTGTCCTGGAACTAGCTCTGTAGATCAGGCTGGTCTCAAACTCACAGAGATCCACCTGCCTTTGCCTCCCAAGTGCTGGGATTAAAGGTTTGCACCACCAACACCCAGCCAGGGTTCCTGGGGTTCATCTTGGTATGAGTGGGGTTAGACATTGGGTAGGTATAGCTGAACCACTGAAGCCCCAATACCTAGGTTTGCAGCTGGGCAAACATGATGATGGGGAGATTAAGGTCCAATGGTCAGGGATGGGCTGCACAGCCAATGGCAACTGAGTTTCCTAGAAAGTGTCCTGCAGCTGCAGTGGCCAGGGGCTGTAGGCCAAGGGATATGGGACTCCTTGGGGGCATGAGAGTACCTGCCACCACAGAAACCAAAGACATCTTTAAAATTTCAAGTTTCCATGGAAATGCGCCTCTCAGCTTATATTTAACAGCTCAACAGATGCCAAGTCCCTAGGGTATCTCAGGACGCTCCTTATTTTCCACATATAGTATGGTGAGAACCCAAGGGTGTCAGCCCTCTAACTCATTTACCAGCCCTTTCCTTAGTTCAGAGTCCTACCCTGAGGTGTGGACATGCCAGTGTTTCTGTATCGGGGTCTCCTGCCTTGGAAGAAAGGTTCAGATGCAGGGCTTTGGAGATGACTACATTGGTAAAGGTTTGCACAAGTAACTGAATTTGACTCCCCAGGACCTGAGTAATCCCCAGAACCCGTGTAAAAGAAGCCAGGTATGTTGGTGCACACTTGCAGTCCCTATATATACTTGGAAGGCAGAGATAAGTCATAGGCAGCCAGCCCCACCTGTTTGATCAGGTCCAGGCATTGAGAGACCCTGTTTGGAAGTAAGCTGATGGCACTTGAGCAACAACACCTGTGGTAGCCCTGGTCTCCAGAGGCATGGACATATTTTGTACTTGCATACACTTGAACGTGCATGCACACGGTGCCAAGTACAAGTCAGAGGGTGGTTTGGAGGCCATGTGACGGCTGACGCATGGTCATGTGAGGCAGGCTTCCCATGAGTCACTGGAAATGGGGGCAGTAAGTGTTGAATAAGTTGTACATATATATGTGTGGCAGTCCATTTTTCACTGTTATAGTGAGATACTCAAAGCTGGGCACTGTAAAGCGAGGGGTTTTATGTAGGTCACTGTCTGGGAGGCCGAAAACTCAAGACCAGGCAGCCCACAGATTTGGCCTCTGTCCAGGGCCCCTTTACTTGGAGAACACCATAGTGCCGTTGCCATGGCAGAAATGCCTGTGATAGGGAGCCCCTAGCTAGAAGGGAAACAAAATGGGTGAGGGTGGTCACCCCAAGACCTCAGCAAGCCCAACCTCTTGAAAGCCCACCCACCAAGTGTTCTGCACAGGACCCTTTGTGGGACCCTGATGCATCATAGTGACTGACAGGGGGGTCTTCAAGGTGCAGTCGCTGCCTTTGAGTGTTTTCCTTACAAGGTTGCCTCTATGCACCTGACCTGCCTGCTTAGTAGGCCCAGCCCCTATGTTCCTCAGTCATCAACTGCTTTCCTTCCCACTTAAAAAAACTGCGGCACTGGGTGGTTTTACTTCATTTCTTCAGTGTGATCTCCTCCAGCTAGTTCATTTTTGGTGGCTGTTCTGAACTATTTAGCCACTTGCAGTGATTTACCAGTTACAATGCCATTGGCCATTTGTCTCATTTGTGTTCATGCAAAATGTTCAGTAGACACTGGTATGCTTGTATCATTGTGTTTTGGGGTCACTGTATATGGGATAAATGTCTAGTGTCCGGATGCAGACCCCATGTGTGTGTATAGGTTTCAGTTGACAGGTCTAGGCTGGCTTCTCTGTGGGTCTCTCTTATCGCTCTCCCCCAGGAGAAGCAAACAGCTTTTGCCTTTGGGACTGACGTCTCAATTTTACCTGTGCCTCTCTGAGACTGAACATGTTTGTATCTGCACTGGGCATTTGCACTTTTTCTGTAGTCACTGTATCCATTTTCCCAGCATGCTCTCCTCGTTTCTGGTGTGAGAGTGGGTGGTGCTGGAGTCTCATGTATGCTAAGCCCATGTTTACCCAGCTGCAAGTCAGCCTAAAGTCCTCTGATGTTCAAGTCTTGCTTTATCAAGGACACAAAGCCTTTGATAGGAGCACTGTTTTTTTTTTTTTTTTTAATTTTTTTTCAGGACTTGGTTGTTTTTTATTATGAAGACTTGTTTATTGTGTGTGTGCACATGAACGTCAGGGCACAACTTGTAAGAGTCTGTTCTCTCCTTCGTCAGGCAGGGAATCTAACTCAGATCACAGGGCTTGCAGCAAGCACCATTACTTGTAGATCCATTCCACCAGCGTAACACTTACAATGTGACACCTAACAGGTTGTGTTTTTATGCCAGTTTTAGGCTTTCCAAGGAGTTAGTTTTGTTTGGGGCTTTTTGCTTGCTTTGTTTTGTATCAATACTGTAGTCCTGGCTAACCTTGAACCCTTGCCTTTCTCATGTCTCAACCTCCTGAACCTTAGGGTACAAGCATGCCTCACAACCTGCTCATACTTGCATGCTTTTGAGGTCTCCTTTCCTTGTAGCACTTTTGCGTGGGGGAGCCAGGTGTGCAGAGTTGGCCCTCCTTGTTTTCCCAGGATGGGCCGCCAGCTGTGCAAGCACGTGTGCAGAAGTGTGTCACTTCCTCTTTCCCTGGCCCTCTCACACCCTTTTCCCATGCCCAAGATGAGTTTTGAGTGGTCTGACTTTTTTTTTTTTAATGAAACTTTTCTGAGCCAGTATAACCAGGTATTTTATAATGCATCATGATGTTCCAGAAGCCTCCATGGGAGCTTTTCCAGAATAATCCATACACATTGTTCTTATGGTTTGGTTGCTCAGACCCCATCCCTCATGCCCACCACACACACACACACACACACACACACACACACACACACACACACACCAGACTTATCATTCTAACTCATTGAGGATGCAACTCTGTTGCTTGAACTTAAGTGAGAATTTTTAATTCTCCTTCAGTATGCTTTTGTGCCTATGATCCAGCACTTGGGAAGCAGAGATGGGAGGAGTTTGAGGACAGCCTGGGCTAAATGAGATCCTAAGTACTTATGTCTGTGTTTGACCCTGATGCAGTGCACTTGCTCCTATTAAGTCCTACAGTCAAGATAGGGTTCCAGCCCTACCCACACCTATTGTTGCTCCCACTGGGCCCAGCCCCAGTTGTCAGCACCCAAGGAAAGACCTGGTCTTAGCTACTTGCTCAAGAGGGTGACTCATGGGCTGAGCTGGAAATGACTGACCTCCTGACTGGAGCCAGTTCACAAGGTATTGATGCAATCCTTTTCCTTCCCATGAGTAGGAAGCAAAGCCTGTGGTTGACAGGAAAAACCAGAGGAGCTCCTGGGGGCCCGGAGCCCCTGGCATATTTGCTGTGGTTCCTTGGCTCTCAGCAGCTAACCCCAGCGCAGTTTCTGTTGGCTTGCTATATACCAGGAGTGGAGCTCACAGGCCTGGGGAGATGAGTCAGGCCTGAAGTGGAAGGAGAGAATTAGTTCCCAGAAGTTGTCCTCAGAACTGTACATAGTCACACATATATACGAACAAAATAATTTAAAATGTTTTTAAGTGACACCTGAACATTCCTTACCCATTGGCTTTTCTTAAGACTACTCACACAGATTGGCTGTCTTTTTTTGTTGTTGTTGTTTTTTTGAGGGTGGTTGTAGCTAAGCGGCCCAGGCTGAGCTCTCATAACCCTGACTTCCCCAGGCCAGATTTACACCACACCCAGCCTCAGGCTAACTGTCCTTGTAGAACACTTAAAGACTCTCTTAGCCTAATCCATCAGGTACAATACAATTTTTTTTTAAAGAACCAGGAGGGGGCATCCATACTGCCATGTGTTGTGTTGCAGGGTCCCATCAAGCCAGGCTTCACATTGGGGCTATAAAGTCACAGGAGGCCTGAGCCAATCATTTTGATGTCACCTATGTCCTTATTAGGTGGGTGCAGGATCCAGCTTCCAGAATGTGGTGGTCCTTGATCCCTCTCTCTTGCTTGCTGGCACTGGCGAGTGCGCATGACAAACCTTCCTTCCACCCGCTGTCGGATGACCTAATTAACTATATCAACAAACGGAATACGACATGGCAGGTAGGTAGGACTGCTGTTTCCTGTCAGTCTTCGTGGGCCCCTGCTTTGGGTCACCTGGTGCACACTGCTTCTGAGGTGACTAACTGGCCATAGGGCATATTCTTTTCTTGACGTTGAAGCTGACAGACCACACCAGCTTCCTCTCTGATCTCCACATTGTGTACATGGGAGTGCACATATGTGTGAACACTTGTACATGGAGGTGTGTGGTGAGATAAGTGAGCTCCAAGACCAGGTGGATCCTAAGAAAACTACCATAGAGGGTGAGGTGGGTCCTTAGTACTTCTTGCCATCATTTCTTCCAGGTCTGGGCAGGTCTCCTGCTAACAACTGAAGGGGATTAGAGAAGACACAATAGTCTGAGCCTGAATCACTCTGCCTGTGTTCCTAGCTCCCTGGATTAGGCAGGACACATGGCCTCTGCATCCCCATCCTGGGAAACCCCTTGGTCAGTGGGTGACTATCCTGGTTGACTCTGTTTCAGGCTGGACGAAACTTCTACAATGTTGACGTAAGCTATCTGAAGAGGCTGTGTGGTACCATCATGGGTGGACCCAAGCTGCCTGAAAGGTGAGCGACACGCCCCAGAATAGACAGTGACCCACATGGTGGCTTGTGAGCAGTAAGTAGTGCTAGTGTTGAGGTGTAGGTGGAGGAAACCATCTCTGGATTCCCTAGGTGCGTTCTTCTGGGCTGCAGAAACTGCCTCAAATGCTGGATTTACTACCTTGTGTCCAAGGTGTCTCACCCTCAGGTGGCTTGGAAGTTGAGTTCTGGCTACGTGCAACTCTGCATAATTCAGGGAAAGTCCATAGGAGCTGCCATTAATGTTTTATTTTTCTGTAAAAGTGTAGAAATTGTTCATAGCAAGGATTAGGAATGTTCATCCAAGGATGAGGTAATCAAATATTGGTACATGATGGAGATGATATTGTCTAACTCAAGCCAGGCAAGGCAAGGCACAGTTTAATATTTTTAAAATTCCAAGTCAGAAAGGAGGTAAAAGATTAGAAGCATTGGTCTAGAATCAGGGCAGGATACATACAGGATCAAAGGTCCATACTGCTTGGCTCTCTCTTCTCATAACAGCCACACAAGTGTGGCCCTCAGATGACACACTGCCCCGAGGAGTCTTGCTGTGGCCTTGAGCTCATGGTCTTCCTGCCAGGCACTCACCTCTACATCCAGCCTTGACACCAGTCCTGGGCATCAAACTGAGGACTCCTGAATGCTTAACAGCTGCACAGCCACAGGGCGCCTCTGCAGGTCTAGTGAGAGAATCGGAGTGTTTTCTGTAGACAGCTGTAACACCTAGAGTGGGCACACCTACCCTAGTGCAATGCTAAATGTCTCCTCAAAGAAAATAAAGAAAGGAATCCCAGGGCTGGACAGATGGCTCTGCAGTGAAGAGCACTTACTGTTCTTACAGAGGACCTGGGTTCAGTCCCCAGCACCCACATGGTAGCTCAAATGCATCCGTAACTCCAGTTTTAGGAGATCTGATGCCCTCTGACGTCTGAGGCACCAGGCACGCATGGAGTGCACAGACGTGCATGCAGGCAAACCACTCATACACTAAATAAATAAATTAAAAAGAAAAAAAGACTGAGGCACAGGTCTTTCCCTGCATATCCACTACACCAACCTAAAAGCAAACCTGAAGGGTTGTTGTTGTTGAAGCGGTTTGAACGAGGCATGATGGGTTATGCTTTTATTCGAACATTTATCAAGGACTTGGTCAAGGTAGGAGGGTGAAGAGTTCTAGGCTAGCCTGGGCTACATAGTCGGATCCTATCTCAAAAAAAGAAAAAGACTTGAGGTGCTAGGACTGGTATCTGTGATGGGGCAAAACACAAAACAAACCTGTGTCCCACGGGTAGAATGTTTGAAAACTATCTATTAAATAAGCATAGGAAGGGGTGCGCACATTGCTGAGTCGCACTGAGCAGTGTGAAGTGGTGAAGGACACCCCGCCTATGTCACGCCACCTCTCTAGGGAGTACAACCCATCCAGGACCAGCCGCTCTTTACCGAGCCTGTTAGGGATGGGGAGTGAATTGTACTTGAACAGAGTCCTTCTTTTACCCAGGGTTGGGTTCGCTGAGGACTTGCAGCTACCTGAAAACTTTGATGCGCGGAAACAGTGGCCCAACTGCCCAACTATCCAGGAGATTAGAGACCAGGGGTCCTGCGGCTCTTGTTGGGTAAGACCCTGCTGGTGGGGAGGGCTTCCTGGAGAAGTCTGGTTGGGATGTGATTGGAGTGCCTAGGGAGGGGCCAGATGGGACAAGGTAAGTGAGGAAATGGCCGGAGTCAGTTTCTTTCCATCACTACAGTTTCTGATCCTTGTGATGGGGAATTATGGAAAGGATGAGTGATGATGGGCATGCAGTGGAACCTGAGATAAGGTCCGTGTACAGGCTGTGGAGTCGTGTTCCCTCAGTAAACACGGCAGCTCTGACGCAAGACGGCTTCACGAGTGCTCCATGCCAATGAGCCATTCTGTGGTTTTTGAATTGTGCCAAAATATGAATGACAGAAAATTCATCTTCCTTAACTAAGTGTATAGTGGCATTAAAAAAAATGTTCCCAGTGTTGGGTGACAATCTCTACTGCCCATCCACACAGTCCTTTCATTTATTCCAAATGAACCAATTGAGTCATATTGACTCCCTGAGGCCCTCCTGTGCCCATGGTGGCTCCCATCTGCTCTCTGAGGCCTTGGAATTTGCTCCTTGTGAGCCGAGTCCCCAGGCAGAGGCATGGATTGGTCTCTTTACTTTTAATGTTAAGTATGAGCCCAGAAGCCTCACCTGACATTGAACAGGTCTAACCATTCAGAAGGTCCAGGGCCTCCCTGCTTCAGGTACAGTGGGCTCCTCACCAGGTAGGACTTTACTATTCTTCCAGGCATTTGGGGCAGTGGGAGCCATGTCTGACCGACTCTGCATCCACACCAATGGCCATGTCAATGTGGAGGTGTCTGCTGAGGACCTGCTTACCTGCTGTGGTAGCCAGTGTGGGGATGGGTAAGTGCTGGGCACCTCTTCCTGGAGACCCTAGCCCCTTTCTCTGGTGTACTGAATAACTCAGGGCTCGCTGGGGAGAGGAGAGCTGTTTTCGGGTGGCTGGGGCATGGGAGTATGCAGGCAGATAGCTGCTGTTGAGCCCCACCCCCACCCCCCAGTGTGTACCTTAAACCCTGTATTTGCCTGTTCCACTTACAGCCCTGTTCCCATCTTAGCCGAACATGTATTCACCGTGGCCATAAGTCAGCAGGTGGCAGTGTCGCCAACACGAGTCCCCTTTCTTCATAATTTAAGGAGTCATTCCTGCTGCAGATCTTAGCAGCCTCAGTTTATGGTTTTCTTTCCCTCCCTCTTTAAATTCAGAACTTGTGCCTTTTCACACGAAGAAGGCATTTACAGTTCCATTTGGCATGTCTGAGCTGCCAGCATCAAGATTCTCGACTTGGCCATTGAGGATTACTTGAACCTACACTGTAGTTGTCTTTTTACTCTTCGCTCTTTAGAAGTCCCAAATAAATACATGGAGACTTATTCTCACTTTTGAGTGCCTGGCCTTATCTTGGCTTGTTCCTAGTCAGCTTTGCTAACTTAAATGATCCCAGCTACCTTTTGCCTCTGGGCTTTTTACCTTTCTTTATTCTATCCCTTTTTCTTTCCTTTAGTCTGTGGCTGACTGTGTGATTGGGTGGCTGGTCCCTGTGTCCTCCTCTCCTCTGTTTCTCATTCCTCCTATTAATTCTCTCTGCCTGGCAGCCCTGACAATCCCTCTCCCAGCTATTGGCCGTTCAGCTTTTTATTAGAACAATCAGGTGTTTCAGACAGGCACAGTAACACAGCTTCACAGAGTTAAACAAATGCAACATAAAGGAATGCAACACATCTTTGCATCATTAGACAAATATTCCACAGCATAAACAAATGTACATACCTTCAACTAATATTCTACAGCACACAGTTGTGGGTTTGATAACCAAGATGGCTCTCAATTGACTAGAGATAGTAGCATATACAACATGGATACTGGGCAAGATGATTGTGAGATTTCATCCTGCTACTCAGAACAGTGTGCAATTTAAAATTGAGGAAATGATTCTGGTATTTTCCACTTAGCGTGTTTGGACCTTAGTTAACTTTAGTATAACTAAAATCCCAGATATCAAACTACCCAGGGAGACCCGGGGGGTGGGGGGGAAGGAGGTAGGGTGGGGAAGGGGGGACAGATAACAAACTACAGATAAGGAAGGGGGCTGCTATAGTCAGGGAATTACAACATACTGTGCAGTTGAGAACCACTGTCCCCGAGAGGGGAGTTTTGAAGGTCACTTTGATATGGACATGAAAAAGAGTCCCTGTGGTCTGGAGGGTACTTGTAGAAAGATGAATCTGGGTTGGGTCCCTGGTGGGGTGACAGTGGAGAAGATGAATTGGGCTATTGGACTATGGGAGGCTTCTTGTGAGGCCAGTGTATTTATTCCCAGTAGCGAATTTGTAGTGATGTGTGCAAACAATTGGAACTAGCTCAACATTGATAGAAGGTCTTTTCCAGCTGTAATGGTGGCTATCCCTCTGGAGCATGGAACTTCTGGATAAAAAAAGGCCTGGTTTCTGGTGGACTCTACAATTCCCACGTAGGTGAGTGTGTGCCTACAACCCCTGTCCCTCGGGTGGGTTTCACGAGTGAGTATCGCTGGCTTCCTTTTCTATTGTAAAGGGAAGGTCAGTGGTAGAAGGCCAGTTGGCCAGACCACCTTCTATTCAGGAGCAGCCACCACAACAAGTAGACATGATCTGACTGGCACCAGCTCTGACTGGTCTGGGGAGCCTTGCATTGGAGGATGCAGGCTGATGTCTCTTGTCCCTTCCATCCATCAGGCTGCTTGCCATACACCATACCTCCCTGCGAGCACCATGTCAATGGCTCCCGGCCCCAGTGCACTGGAGAAGGAGACACTCCTAAGTGTACCAAGAGCTGTGAGGCTGGGTATTCCCCATCCTACAGAGAAGACAAGCACTATGGTAAGCTGGGGCTTACTGAGGGAGGAAGAGGTCAGTGCCATGAGTAGAGTCCAGCACTGGGTGGTTGTGCTGGACACACTTTTAATCCCAGCACTCGGGAGACAGAGGCAGGTGGATTTAGAGTTCTAGGACAGCTGGGCTACACAGAGAAACCCAGGAGCAGCAAGAAGGAAAGCTGAGTAATCTCACCTGTCTCACCGGCAGAGATGCACATTCCAAGTGTCTGGTCCACACTCTGTCCTGCCTCAGCACATTTGAGCTCCAGGGGACCAGGCAGACCATTCTTTTACAAAGGGTTAGAACCTGGTTTTAAACCTTAGGGTCCTCTTGGCCTCTCTCCTAGTACTGTAGATCTGCTCACTTACCTAGGGAAGTCCTTTTTTGGTCTCTTCTGGAGGGTTAGAGGGGCTGGCGGCACCTTCTCACTCTGCCCGGCTTTGTTCCTTCTGCAGGATACACTTCCTACAGCGTATCTAACAATGAGAAGGAGATCATGGCAGAAATCTACAAAAATGGCCCAGTGGAGGGTGCCTTCACTGTGTTTTCAGACTTCTTGACTTACAAATCAGGTACCCATTGACTTCAGCAGCAGCCAGGGTTGGAAGGTCAGAGCTCAAGGGCCCAGGGTCCATATGAGCCGGCAAGTCTCACCAGGAGGAAAGCAGAGCCTTGGGGACTCAAACCTGCATCCCCGCTCTCTTCTCTGGGTAGATGGTCACAGCTTCCCAGCTGCTGTGCTCACTGGCTCCCTTTGAGCATGGTCTCCACAGAGCCTCTCTAAGGGTCCCCTTTCATCCCTGCTAACTCACTTCAGCCCCCTACTCTGCTGATGCTTCTTCCTTCCATAACAATCACTCCTGCCTTTGTCCTTCATCCACATTTGACAGTGGTCATTCTTTATCTTTACAAAGACCTAGATCACCTCAGCCTTCTATGGAGCTGGGATCACAAATGTGACTTGTGATTAGCAGTTCATAGATAGTATCTTGTATAGTCATGGTTCTCTAGAACAGTGGTTCTCAAACTGTGAGTCAATACCCCTTTGGGTCAATTTGTAACAATGTAACAGTAGCAAAATTACAGTTATGAAGCAGAAACAATTGTATTAAAGGAGTTGTATTAAAGGGTCACAGCATTAGAAAGGTTGAGAACACTGCTCCAGAGGTTCAGAACTTACAGAATGAATGAATCCATCCATCCATCCATCCATCCATCCATCCATCCATCCAAAGTTGACTTATTAGGATGACTTATAAACTGTAGTTCAGAAAGTCCAACAATGGCTACCTATCGATGGAAGGTCCAAGGATCCAGTAGATGTTCAGTCCATGAGGCTGGATGTCTCAGTTGGTCATGAATGAGTATACACTGGAATCCCAAAGAAGTAGGTTCTAATGCATGAAGGAATGAATGGACTTGCTAAAGAAAGCAAGCAGGCAACGAGAGAGCTTCCTTCTTCCACATCTTTTGTAAAGGCTGCCAGCAGATGGTGTGGCCAGATTAGAGGTAGATCTTCCCACCTCAAAGTATCTGAATTAAAGGTCTGTCTTCCTACTTCAAAGATCTCGATCAGAAGGGGGTCTCTCCACTTCTGGTGATTTAATTAAGAAAATACCCCTCACAGGTTTGCTCAGCCATTTGTGTTTACGTTAATTCCAGACAGTCAAATTGACAACCCAGAGCACCCATATCACTTAAAGATGCATTTTAGTTTGAAAAGTGAGTCAACCACAAGTGGAAGGAAGGCCTGGTTGACCGGCTCTGGACATCTGCTGTCAGCCAACAGTGGCAGCCATCCATCTATCCCTTACTTCTCCAGTAGACCCCAGAGCAGCAGCTTGAAAACTCTGCAAGCCTTATAGAACTTGGCATATGAACTCTGACACCAAATCTCTGGGTATAAAACAGAGAATTGGCCCTTGGGTTTGAGGTTTGCTTCATAACTTAAGAGTTTATCATAACCTTTATTTTAAGGCCAATCAAACAATATTTTTGTAGAACCCCCATTTTAATATTTAATTTGCATACTAAAGTTGTTGGGCTTCCAAAAATAATGGTATATACAACCAGGCATGGTGGTGGTGGTGGTAGTGTGTGTGTGTGTGTGTGTGTGTGTGTGTGTGTGTGTGTGTGTGTGTCTCATTAATTCCAGCACTCAGAAGGCAGATGCAGGTAGACCTCTGAGTTTGAGATTGATTAGCTTTTTTACACAGTGAGTTTCAAGCCAGCTAGGGCTATTAAGACCCTTTCTCAAAATACACATACCCCCCCACACACACACCTCCATACATACATGCACACACATACACATATGTGTAGAGTTACATAGTCTCCTAATACAGTATCCACAGTCATAGTCACTGTTAATGCAGCTGTGAAGACACACTCCATTTCTTAGTCACATGCTGTGATGAGACACCATGGCCAAGGCAACACTTATAAAGAAAGCACTTAATGGGGGCTGGCTTACAGCTTCAGGGACTTAGTTCATTGTCATCATGGCAGGGAGCTTGGTGGCACACATGCTGGAGAAGTAACTGAGAACTGCATCTTGGTCCTCAGGCAGATAGAGTGGGGTGAGAGTGTGGGCTGGACAGACAGACAGACACCAGCCCGGCTTTTGAAACCTCAACACCCACCCCCACTGACACACAAGGCCATACCCCTTATCCTTCTAACCCTTTCAAACAGTGACATTCCCTGGTATTCCATGGCCTTGCCATCCTAACAAGTGGCTCATCCCGAGCCCCTCTCCAGCCTTCTAGAGTTTTCTGTGTAGGAGAGTAGTAGTTGATTCCTGTCAGCCTCTTTTTCTGATTGGGTGGCTAGCTGTCTTGGGGGGACTCTGAGCAGGCAGTGGCCTGTGTCGAGTCAGAACTGTCTTTTTCTTCCTCAGGAGTATACAAGCATGAGGCCGGTGACATGATGGGTGGTCATGCCATCCGCATCCTGGGCTGGGGAGTAGAAAATGACACCCCCTACTGGCTGGTGGCCAACTCTTGGAACGTTGACTGGGGTGATAATGGTGAGTAGCAGTCCCCTTTCTCAGTCTACATAAGAAGCCATGAGCCAAAGCATCCTGGCCCCTTTGCTCCACTGCAGCCTGAGGTGTGGCCCTGACTGCCTATGTGTATAGATATCTTGGCCTAGGACCATCTGAGCCCCAGAGCACTTCATGGTGTGTGTACAGTTCACATTGCAAGAGCAGTGTGTGAAGAGATCTGAGGGATGTGTCTCAGATGATGCTAGGGGTCATGTGACTCACCTCTAGGTCTGGATAAATCTGAGTATACCAACAAGGGTCAAGGCCCAAGCCTGCTGGACATGGTGGCTGTACATGCACCCCATGTAGCCATAGTACTCAGGATGCTGAGGCTGAAGGATGGAGTTTGTGGCCAGCTTGAGTTACAGAGTGGGGTACCATTTAAAACAAGGCTTAGACCAAACCCAGAGCATACTTTGAAAGCACCTTATGTTTGTTTGTTTTTCCTTCCCAGGCCTCTTTAAAATTCTCAGAGGAGAGGACCACTGTGGAATTGAATCAGAAATTGTGGCTGGGATCCCTCGCACTGACCAGTACTGGGGAAGGTTCTAATTCGCTGTGACCTGGTTGGCCAGTCCTTAGGGAATTTTCCCTACCTTTAGCTACCCAGGCTGAGAGTGAGGCAGACAGGACAGTGTTTGATTCCTTGAATTCACCTAAGATGCACGAAGTTTCCAGCAAGGCTTGAGCAACTGGACCAGAGCTGCCTGCCATCAGAGCTGTCCTTCACATGTTTTCTCCTTACCTGGCTCCCTCCCAGCCTATCCCATGGCAGTGATCACAGTCTGCATCCTAGCCTCCCCCTAGACTAGTGCTCTTTGTAGTGCCTGCTGCTGTGGCTCTGCCTGCCACCCCTGCCACCCCATCCCAACATCTCCAGAGCACCATAGACCTAAAGGCTTTGGCTGCAGGTTTTCCAAAAGACTGGAATGCCAACTTCATGATGAGGACAAACATCGCCTGTCAGCTGCACCTTGAAGCCAGTCACTACCTAAGTTTGTGGCAGACATTGATGGCCCAATGCCGTTCTCTCAAGAAAGCTACCTTTTTCCAGGGTACCTGTGTGCATCACCCTTGATAATGTGTCAAGCCCTCCCTGGTCTTGTCTTCAGCTTTGCTTTTTCAATAGTTTTATTTTTTTGTGCAACTCAACTGAGTATGTGAAATGAACAGGTCTGATTAGTTGAACTGTACAAGTTTTGCAGATTCTCTCCTAATTGTATGGCTTAAAACAAGCTAAGTGGTCCTAGTTTGCTGAGTGACCTACTGACCTCAGACACCACAGTGAAGCTAGTCTGGCAAAAAACAAAACAAAACAAAAAACCCTCTTTTATTATGTTGTAGAGTCACCACTTTACCCTGTCAGTTTAACAAGGAATGACTGTGCCAATAAACCAACTCTCCTCTGCTTGAAGTCTGCTCTCATGGCCACCTGGAGGCAGGGTGAGCAGTCCTGTGCTGCATTTTCAAGCCATGTGTAGTTTTCTGTCACCCTCTGAAACCCTTCCCAGGACTGTGCTCAAGCCTTGGATGGATTCTTCCTCCTCAGAGATAAGGGAGCTGCGTGTAACCAGGCCTGGCATGTGTGTGTTTCACATAAGTAGTAGACTGTTATCTTTCTAGAGTGCCACATCTCCCCAGGGTGGAGCCAAAGCTTGTGCATCATGTTTTAAGTTTTCTTGGTCACTGAAGTACATGGCCGGTCAAGAGACTCATTTATAAAAATCATACATAGCGAACTATATATAGTTCATAGGGACAGGAGGCCTCACTAGTCAGCAATCACTTGTCCTGTTGACCTCTTATTACTTTCCTGCCTGCTAAATGGGAGGGGCTGGTTCTTTCTAGAAGCTGAGGAAGCTTGCCTTCCCATCAGTTGAGAATCAGAACTCTTATCAAGCTCTTAGAGCCTGCCGATTGCTGGCTTGGGTACTAGGGCTTCAGTACTGCAGACAGTTCTTAGTTCTTCTTGTCCCTAAACTACATCAGATAGTTCTCCTTGTACACTGCCTTTTTTTTTTTTTTTAAAACCACCCTCTCTCCACTAGCTTTGTTTCCCCTTGATATTTTTTTTCATTGATTTTATTTTCTACATTCCAATCCCAGTTCCCCCTCCCTCTTCTCCTTAGGCCTCCCCTAGGAAGTGTACTAAGTCTGTCCCATCATCTCGATGAGATAGGACCTAGGCACCTCTCCACCCCCACACCCCTGTGTCTAGGCTGGGCAAGGTACCTCTCCATAAAGAATGGGCTCCACTAAGTCAGTTTGTGCATTCATGTTAGATCTTGGACCCACTGCCAGTGGCCTCATATATTGTCCCAGTCACACCATTGTCACCTATATTACAGGATCCTAGTTCAGTCCTATGCTGGTTCCCCAGTTGACAAGTGTGGAGTCAGTGATCTCTCACTAGCTTTGGTCAGCTGATTCTGTGGGTTTCCTCATCATGCTCTTGACTCCTTTGTTCATATCATGGCTCCTCCCTCACTTCATTGTACTCCAGGAGCTTGGCCCATTGGTTGGTTGTGGATTTCTGTACCTGCTTCCATCTGTTTCTGGAAGAGGATTCAAGCATCTCTGGGGTTATAGGTACACTGCCTTTCCTGCCTCACTACATGCCCACTAGCACCTCCACTCCTACCCTAGAGCCAGTGGAGATGGGCTAAATGAGAGGACCTGGGGCATCCTCTTACTCACTGAAGGAGCCTCTGAGAGAAACCCGCCTTGTTAGTTATATGCTTGGGGATAGTGCTAGATGGCTTCGAGAACCAGATTATCCTGTGGGTCCTCTCCTGTGCTCATCAGTAGCATTGTTCCTTGAGTAACAGGCCTACTTGGTCCGAAGTCTGGCTCCAGAGCACCACACTTTAGTGAGAGCCTTACAGCTCTCATCCCTCCCAACCAGATCCTGGAAAATGACTCAGCAGGGAATAACCCTCCAAGAGCTGCCCCAGGCATGATTTGCAGCTGCCATAATGATGGTACAGATAGGCTTCTGAGGAAGGCAGCACCAGGACGGAACCAGGTGGCTATATATGCTGTATACTACATTGAGTCAAAAGCAGGCTGGGGCTGTCTGTCTCCCATTGGTAAAGAGGGCATGTCCAGCATATGGTCCAAGCAAGACCATTGGTTCAGTGCCTAGCAACAGCAACATAACAAGGGGAGAAAAAAGGTAGGTGTGTCAGATGTAGCCAATTATAATTGGCTTTATAGAAATGTTCTGTGCTAAATAGCTGGATATGAAGAAAACTGGAGTTCAAGTGGAGCTTTGCATCCTGCCAAGGGAAAACAGCCTGGGTTTTATTGTTTGTGTTAGAGCCAGGGTCTGAGAATGACCTTGAATTCCTGATCTTTCTGCCTCTACCTCCCAAATGCTGGGATCACTGTGAGAACTGTAGTTTTCAGAAAGAATGAGCATTAAGACTTCCGTGCTTCTTTGAGCATGGAAGTTAACCATGTAACACATTACTTTGACTGGTTCCGTCTGGGTGATATTTGTCCAAGGTTGAGCCACAACCAATTAAATGAAGTCTCCATGCCCCAAGTGGTTCTAAGGATTCCCAGTAAGGAAATCTGTACTTGCATAAAATGCTGCATGGAGTCCCATGCAGGCTGAGACCTCAGTGATGAAGTCAGCATGCTTACAGACTTAACAGGAGAGCAGATTGTGGACTATACATACAGGTCTCAATAGCTGGAAGCTTGGTCCACAGTGTGACAGTGAGCGGCTGAGGCCCAGTGCAAGGGGATTAGGCTCAGGAGGCAAAACCTTAAAGGGGGTCAATACTTGTCTTCCAGACCCAAGACCAAGCTCTGAGGACAAGAATGGGATGGCTCACGTCTATACTCTTGCACTCAGAAGGCTAAGGAAGGGGGAACCACCATTAAGTTCAAGACTACATACAGACTTCCAGGCCAACCTGTGCTAGTTTAAGACTGTCACCATGCCTGGGCTTTGATTCTCCCTTGCCACCAATGTGATGTAATTACCCATGAGGCCCTCCAGAGGCTAAAGATGGGACCAGCTCTCTTCTTGGTAGTCAACCTCAGGTATGGTGTTATAAGGGGAAACCGGTCAGCATGTTGCCTGGAGCCTCTCCAGTGTCATGCTTGAAATGCTGGCTTTCAGTAGCCAGGGCCCTCATGACAATGTAGCCATGCTAGAATTAAAAACCAAACTCTCAATGTAGGGGAACTGGTTTTCCTGCCCAACATCGTTCCTCTTGAGATTTCAGCATAAAAATGTGGGGAAAAACCCAAACAAATGACTATCAAAGTGGCTGGTAGGGCAGTGCCAGAGGCAGGCTGAAGCAGCAATGAGAGGCAACAGCCTCCTCCACCAGCAGCAGAACCAGGCCACCTAGCCCTTCCCAGTTCTTGCTAACGGGACTTGTTGCGGTGACAGAAGACCATGTCTTAAGGTCACTATACCATCTACCTGGGCTTTCAGGTGACCTGCACTTGACAAAGTCATAACAAGGGATTTTGAGTTTGTTATTTTGTGCTGGGGATCAAATCGAAGGCCTTGTGGTATCTTGCACGTAACTGGCCCCTTAATCCCAAAGGGAGTGGCACTATTAGGCATGGCCCTGTTGAAAGAAGTGTGTCACTGTGGGGGGTAGGTTTTGAGGTCTCTTTTGCCCTAGCTTCCCTCAGTTTGACAGTCCACTTCCAGTTGCCTTCTGATCAACTTGTAACCAGCAACATGTTTGCCTACCTCCATGCTCCCCGCCATGACAATGGACTGAACCTCTGAAACTGTAAGCTGCCACCTCAATTAAACATTTTCCTTTATAAGAGTTGCTGTGGTCCTGGCATCTCGTGAAGCAACAGAAGCCCTAAGTAAAATAGGCCGTATGCACATTAGGCAACAGTTCTACCACCAGAGTTATATTCCAGCCCTTGCATGCTATTATAAAAATCTCAAGAGCAAAAGCTTTTACTGGAGGCACTGATGAATGCTCAAGCTCCCTTTGAGAAAGACACACCTGCACTCTTGGGAAGCTTCGCAACATCATCTAGAATGATGATGATTAACGACTTCCACTGTCAAACTGATGAGAAAAGCAGGAACCAGACGGAAGGAAAAGTCATGACAGGTATTCAAAGGCTATTTCAAATTAAATAAGTTCAATTGTCACTCTAGCCAGTTCACTAGGAGCTTGTGACCTCTAAAGTGCAGCAGTGAGCACGCTGCCAATGGCTACAAGAGGCAGAGGGACCACAGCCCAACAAGCACCAGGCTGCTGGGCATCTTTTCCTCTGCACAGTTTCTAAAGGTCCCACACACAGTTCTCCGCGAGCTTAACGTAGGGAAAATGAAAGGGAAGTCAAAATCCACCTGGAGGAAAAGGTAAACCCATTTCATGTGAACTTTGCCTTCCAGCCAAATAAAATCAGTGTTCTCCTGTCTGCACATAGTCTTCTGTGACCTGGGACAGGGTGCTCAGGTACTGCCAGCTCAGGGCAGCCAAGAGCATGACAAACGACAGGTAAATGGGGGAGTAGTGGCTTCGGGAGATGAGCTGACAGTTGGGAAGGCTCTGTGTCCTGATGGTGGAGATGACCTCCTTGGTTTTGCTAGAAGATGGGTCTGAGTTGGGAATCCGGTGATAAATCTGTAGGGAAAGAGGAAAAGCTACTTAGCAGTGTCTCAAGTACACCACTTACAAACATTTCCCATCGTTTGGTCTAAAAATACTCAACAGGTAGGTGCTCTATGCCCACGCCACCAAGGAGAAGCTGAACCACCTAGGTGTGTCCTGTAGATGACATAGCACAGTACGGTGCGCATATCTCACCACAGAGCCATTAATGCCTAGAGAGCAGCCACCGTACCACTTCAGATGCCGATTGCTTACGGTGGCAGGCATGGAGTAAGTGTTGGCATGATGCAGTTAGGATGACCAAAGGCATGTGTTGGATGGGGAAGACTCCAATCCCAGCAAACTAGGCAAAAGTAGCTCATATAAATAGTGCCCCATAGTGTATGGGGAACAGTAGAGATTACCACCAGCAGTCCTGCCAGGACCTCCTCCGTGTTGCTCCTTACAGCAACCTCCTGCACATCGGCAGAGCCCCACCCTCCTTCCACATCCATGCCACCACTGCCCTGAGTCAAGCCCTGAGCTCTGAGCCCCAAATCCACTCACCTGTTCACATGGTCAACAGAGATGTACAACCTGTTCTCATTGACCCCTGTGCCCTCCCCCATTACCTGCAGACTATCTGAGCTCTTTACTGTGGACATGAGGCAACTTGGGCCATACCCTCAATAAATGCACAGGCCACTGGGTACCTCTCTCCACATATGCAATGATACTGCCACTTCTTTCTCCTTTCCCACACCTTCACATTGCACCTCTATCTACCCTCATCCGTCTCTTTCATGTCTCCCAAGTCTAAATTGAATCAAACTGACAAGGTTACTGGCAGGAAGCGACGACAATTTAAGCCAGAACTGGGGC